ATTTTGCACGTGCGCACGTGCAGGGTGCCGCTTCCAGATCTCGAGAACGGCTGGGCCGATTGTGCCCAAATTTGGCACATCGCTAGAGACCGGTTAGTAGGGTGCCGTGCACAAGTCAGTTGGAGGTACCCCCTCGAAATTTCGCACGTGCAAGACTCACCCCCTCGCTCGCTCCGTTAGTCGCCCCATAAGGCGTTATACTGGTTGCTACTTTTGTTACGGAGCGAGCGAAGCGAGCGGAGTCTTACGTAGAATAACGGAAATTTCTGAGTATGAGCGGCCGGCCGGCCGGCCGGCCGGCCGTGCGGACGCTTTTGCGAGGCTTATATCTCAGCAACCACTTGACCGATTTACATGCGGTAATTTTTGTAGGGTAGCTTCATTCCTTCTACCAAGTATTGGACTATTCCCGATGCATGTGGGTGACCCCTTATGCACGTGCCACGTGCAAAACGAAGAGGTGTCACTTTTCTAATTGTTGCAATATCTCGGTAACAACTTGGCCGATTGCGCTGAAAGTTGGCATGTAGGTAGGCACCCACTAGGCACTGCATATCCATGTGCCAGAGTTGGGGTGCTGCTGCACGTGCGCACGTGCAGGGGTCGATTCCAGATCTCGAGAACGGCTGGACCGATTGCGCTCAAATTTGGTACACGGTTAGGGACCGGTTAGTAGGGTGCCGTGCAAAAGTCAGTTGGGACCCATGTTGCACGTGCGCACGTGCAGGACGCCGCTTCCAGATCTCGATAACGGCTGAGCCGATTGTGCTCAAATTTGGCACATCGCTAGAGACCGGTTAGTAGGGTGCAGTGCACAAGTCAGTTGGAGGTACCCCCTCGAAATTTCGCACGTGCAAGGCCCACCCTCTCGCTCGCTCCGTTAGTCGCCCCAAAAGGCGTTATACTGGTTTGAATACCACTGAAATGCCCAAATCTGAGTTATAAGTATGATGCTCAATCCCCATTTCCCCTCCAACAGGGCGTGAGAGTCTAGGCATTTCTGTGGGGCACGAGCTAGCAATGACTATCTCATAATCATTGCGGCAATTAACATCTACTGCCATTCTTTAACACCGGTTTCGCTGCGCTGAGTGGTGGCCGTCCCGTTTGTTGGATTCTACAGCTCGCTGGCGGAAAGCGTTACCGGCCGCCCGTCCACCGCCCGCGGGCCGGACCGAGCGGTCCCGCTGACCCTACCTGACCTGAGCCCGGCGCGATATGGGACGGGCAGACGGGGGTTCGGCTCAGCGGAGGCAGCGCCCACTGGTGCGGGGGACTTTTTTAATAGACCTACTGTACAGAGCAGAGTTTGCCTTAGCCATTATGAGGCAAGTTGGGCTGAAGTTGTCGAGGACGGTGGCCGTGCCGATGTCTGCCTCCCGAGAACGGAGAGCGACCAGCGGACGCGTTCCACGAACCCCGCACATCGTGTTTAATCAGCGCCGATATCGTATTCACGCGCCGTAATTGAGTTAGTTATCGGTCTGTGATGTTGAAACTGATATCCAGTCGCTCGCTGTTTTATGGGAAGCTCATATACCCGCCGGTGATTGATTTATATTCCACAATAAACCCGACCTATATCATTGATGTCGAGATAGACCTCGTTAAATGTGAGCGTCGGTGAACCTCAGTTTCATGCATGCACACACTGTGTAACGTGTATATCCGTAAATCAATTTGTAACAGAGTCGTACATTGTAACACACATATTTTTACAGAAGATGAAGGAATTCAAATAAACAAACCTATTTTTGTCATTAGATTGAACACATTCACTGTTTCACAGCTGTACCATTACGCCCCACTAAGCGACAGGCGACAGCCCTTGTATTCACCGCCGGCACTGGACACTGGCTTCACCTTAGGTCTGTCTCTGATGACTGTCTGGCCCTCAGCCTGTCTCTGATGACTGTTTAACCCTCGGCCTGTCTCTGATGACTGTTTAACCCTCGGCCTGTCTCTGATGACTGTTTAACCCTCGGTCTTTCTCTGATGACTGTTTAACCCGGCAGGCGGTGGGCCTCCCGGCCAACTTCCGCGCGGTGGGGGGGGGGCATTTTTTGCCCCCCGTATCTCCTAAACTACTGGACGGATCCGGAAAATTCATACGGCATTCGATAGCCCTGTCAAATTTGTCGAAGGAAACCAAATTTCATTGACCTCGGGGTCACCGATGACGTCACAGGTCAGGTCAAAGATAAAATGTTTCACCGTTCACGGGGCTTCTAGGGAAAGCGCTATAACACCGAGTAAAACGCATTTTGCCGAAAATCAGCGATAGGGCGACAGTTGTCTAGTAAATATGTTGCTATTAGAGGTCACTGGTCATACCAGGTCAGGTCACAGGTCAGGTCACCAAAGGTCACCAAGGGTCACCACATGAACCCAACTTTACTAAGGTTGTGCGATGCATGTTTTATGGCCAGTTTTTCACTTCCAACTCAATTGTGTTGGTTATAAGACCATCAGGTACGGTTTAGGTCACTTTCTGGTGGAGGTCAGGTCAAGATCAGGTCAAAAAATGTCAAATTTCAAAGTTGATATTGTTGCATAAAATGGGTATTGATTCGATGCAGCTCGTCACAGGGAGTCTAATGGTGGTCTTTGTTCTGCGCTACGAGGTCTAGAATTGCTAAAAATCGAGTTTGAAAACTTGACGTCTTCAATTTTGAACAGTTTTTTTCGCTATAACTTAGCCAAAAAAAGAGGTATCGATCTCAAATTTGGTATGTAGATAGAAGGCGTTAGGGACTATCACATATATTCCGGGTTTTTCGAAATTCAAAAAACTTTTTGGATTTTTCGGCTGTTATATTCAAAAAATTATTTTTTTGACCGCAGTTATAGTATTATTATATATATATTAGTTAATATATCAGTATATATCAGTATATATTAGTTAATGGCCCAGATAAGGAGAACCGGATTTTTAGAACTTATCCATACCTTCAAAACTCATGGAAACGTCTTAAATTCTTCAAATTTTGAGTACCCCAGTGCGAAATTCGCCCCGACGGGTTGTCGGTCGTACCCCAACCACATTTCACACCACTATGAACAATAAATGCACACACTGAAATCGCTATTACCGATAGGCTCATCCAATCAAGTTTCGATAAACCCTTTCATCATCATCTCCTGCGGTTTCGAACACGCCTGTTAGGTGGTGCGGTATACCGCGCCCAAAGCCAGGGCCCCGGTAACGTGAGGTAGCCGAGTCGGGGCAGCGTGCGCTGACCCAAGCCGGGGCCGCGCGTCCTCCCGGTGTCATGTGATAGCCCGGGGCTGCCCGCGGGGATGCGGTAGACCGCGCCCAAAGCCGCGGCCCCGGCTTGGGTCAGCGCACGCTGCCCCGACTCGGCTACCTCACGTTACCGGGGCCCTGGCTTTGGGCGCGGCTTCTGCTCATACTTTGTGGTGCGGTGGTGGTGCGTCAGGCCGCGCGCTCTGACTTCGGCCAAGAAAAATGCGTCAGCTGATCATTGTCATTTCTGCCACTTTCATGTGGTGAGATGGGGTCATAACTTTAGAGACGGCTGTTTCATAGCAATTATTACGGAGCGAGCGAAGCGAGCGTAGTCTTTCCTTAGATTAACGGAAATTTCTGAGTATGAGCGGCCGGCCGGCCGGCCGGCCGGCCGTGGTCACGCTTTTGCGAGGCTTATATCTCAGCAACCACTTGACCGATTTACACGCGGTAATTTTTGTAGGGTAGCTTCATTCCTTCTACCAAGTATTGGACTATTCCCGATGCATGCGGGTGACCCCTTATGCACGTGCCACGTGCAAAACGAAGAGGTGTCACTTTTGTAATTGTTGCAATATCTCGGTAACTACTTGGCCGATTGCCCTGAAAGTTGGCATGTAGGTAGGCACCCACTAGGCACTGCATATACATGTGCCAGAGTTGGGGTGCTGCTGCACGTGCGCACGTGCAGGGGTCGTTTCCAGATCTCGAGAACGGCTGGACCGATTGCGCTCAAATTTGGTACACGGTTAGGGACCGGTTAGTAGGGTGCCGTGCACAAGTCAGTTGGGACCCATTTTGCACGTGCGCACGTGCAGGGTGCCGCTTCCAGATCTCGAGAACGGCTGGGCCGATTGTGCCCAAATTTGGCACATCGCTAGAGACCAGTTAGTAGGGTGGTGCCGTGCACAAGTCAGTTGGAGGTACCCCCTCGCAATTTCGCACGTGCAAGGCCCACCCTCTCGCTCGCTCCGTTAGTCGCCCCAAAAGGCGTTATACTGGTTTTACATAAAATAATATTTCAAACCATAAATTATTGTTCGACAGCCAAATTAAAGAAACAATACCAATACAGGCTTACAGTTTAAATTCGACATTGTGTTGTCTACGATTAGACAGCTGATAACTCATTCCCGTACGCCGTAACTCAATGACCTTTGCTTATTGTCACATGTGCGCCGCATTCGTGATTGTTTCCGACGCCTGTTTGCAGGTGAGCCCACTACAGTTGTTTTACATATCGAAAAACCGATAAACTTTTAGGCGAAAAAAGCACTATTTTAGGCCCATTTTTGATTTTTTTGCGATATTAGGTAAAAACAGAAGCTTCTTATCCTAGGAAAAATAAAATGGGAAATCATTCGAAGGTGGCACACTACCTTTAACCCTCGGTCTTTCTCTGATGACTGTTTAACCCTCGGTCTATCTCTGATGACTGTCTGACCCTCGGTCTATCTCTGATGACTGTCTAACCCTCGGTCTATCTCTGATGACTTTTTAACCCTCGGTCTATCTCTGATGACTGTCTGACCCTCGGTCTATCTCTGATGACTGTCTAACCCTCGGTCTATCTCTGATGACTGTTTAACCCTCGGTCTATCTCTGATGACTGTCTGACCCTCGGTCTATCTCTGATGACTGTCTAACCCTTGGTCTTTCTCATGACTGTCTGACCCTCGGTCTGTCTCTGATGCTTGTCTGACCCTCAGTCTGCCTCTGATCTCTGACCCTCGGTCTCGCTTGTCCCCAGGACGGACGGCCGTACCGCCACTGCGCGCCGTGCGGACGCTGTGTCAAAGTCACCTGGCAGCACTGCGCCGCGTGTGACCGCTGTGCGCTGCCCGACCACCCCTGTGCCGGGCAGGACCGCGGTGTGAACAGGGCTGTCTCCGCGCCCACACAGCCGAAACGCCCGGCAGGACACCAGGTGAGGCGACCCGGCGAATCAGAGGGATGGGCGCAGGCCGGGGCAGTCTGGAAGGTTTGAGACGATCTAAACGGAGCTCTGTCAGCCTTCTACCAGTCGTTAGCTGATAATGACCTTATTTATCAAATGGCTCAGGGCCTCAGCGAGTGACCTTTCAACACAAAACAACTGCAACTGCTCTCTGTCATCGAAAGAATGTAGTTAGGGCGACCAGCAACAAATCGGTGACCTGTTCAGAACAGATGATACCTGAAACGTTTTTGCTCCTCTTCCAGCCGAAGAAAAAACCGAAGAGGCGGCGAAAATAGCGGGCGTCTGACGCAGACCGCCGGTGTTTGGTCCCTCGGCCGTTAATGTTGTCCGGAGTGCCGTTCGGTGCCACTGTTTCAGTCCAGTGCAGTATAAATGGCCTGCTGTTATCTCCAGGCCGACCCGACACCGCCCACCTGCGTATGTCTCGACTGGTGATTTTTGTCTTTCTGCGCCGGTAACGAGCGGAAGGTCCGCGTTCAAAGCGCACCGGACGCTGCCCGCTGCCGACAGGTAATTGGTCCGCAACACGCGGTCTTCCCCAGTGACGTCATCCGGGTGTCCGGATGTGACATGATGACGGCATGACGTCATGTGTGCGTATGCGTATGACAGTGTGCTCCGAGACGGGGTTCACATCATTTGTTTGCGGAGGGTGGCTTCTTGCTGTTGTTTTTGTTAGTTGCCGTTTGTTATGTAGGCTGGGGAAAAGGCTGACAGAAAATGACGAATCTTGAACAGCATTGTCTCATTCAAGTCACTGCCGTATGCAATGCATTTGTAACTGTTATTTTTTAAAATATAATCTGCAAATGTCGATTGTATGTGTCATGCCCGGGTGGCGGGTGGCATAGTTCACTGGCGGATCCAGGCTTGCGTTTTGGGGGGGGGCCAACTCATGCAGGAGCCAAACCTAGGGTACCCCCAAATCCTGTTTTCTCATCGGATTTAGGCCACTTATTTTTCGTCACAGCCCTGACACTATGAATTTTTTTTTTTAACTTAAAAGAAAAATATATAAATGGTAGCCCACCCGACCCATGCCTTTATATTACTTTGTAAACACTTACCATTGTTTTTATCGACCAGTTAAAGGGACCCTCCCACCTTAACATTAGATTTGAGCTGAGATAGCCAAAATGGGGTCCCTGGCTCACAATTACCGGTTTCGGCACGCACTCACAACATCGAGAAATGCCTTAAATCGGAAATATTGAATTTCAAAATTGCAGCATTTTGATTCAGAGAGGCTAATGCTTTTGGATACCCCTCTGAATGTGTGACGTCAGCGGAGATCTAATGATTTTTTAATATTTTACTAAAACGTTTGGTAGCATGCGGTGGTATAGGCTGCTTTGCGCGCAACAAATGCCGCACTTTCAAATAAAGTCGCTAGGAACAGCAGCGGATATCCCAAAAAGTAAACAAAAATAAAAGTCTAATCTCTTGATAACCGGTGAATATTTTTCTATAAAATTTGGTAGATATTCGTTTTCGCCCTTTCTGAACCTAGCGACATCACTTTCATGCCAATTCATTAACTTTTTTGAAGGTGGGAGGGTCTCTTTAACCCGCTTCGAGTCAGTGCTTGGGTCCCTTTGCGGGCCGGGAGGTGGTAAAACAGCCCTGTCTAACTCGGCTCCTGGGCCACGCCCTGATTGAACTATGTTTCATTATCGTTTGGGGGAGGGGGAAAACGGACCACTTTAGGCCTCTGGGAAGGGGGCATGGCCCTAAATGCCCCCTCCCTGGATCCGCCAGTGTAAGAAGAGACCATTGGAGCTGCAGTTGGGTACCTCAGACATCAGGGTACGCCCTCAGATGTATGTATAGGACTCGCATGGAGACCTCTTATGCTATAGTGTACTGAAAGGACCCAAAGGAGCCTGTCTATATGGGCTCCCGGAGATAGACGTGGGCCCTCAGGAGCCCGCCAGAGCCCCAATGAGGGATAAGTGAGGGATACCAAGTGCCTGCAATTGCATATTGCATAAGCCATAACGCCTTTACAAATCAATATATTATGCATCAGTGGCAGATCCAAGGGGGGCCACATGGGTCATGACCCCCTTGGTGCCCGGGGGCACCACAGGCCTGTCAGGGGCACCACCGGCCTAGTAGGGGCACCACCAGCCCGCCAGGGGCACCACAGGCCTAGCAAGGGCACCACGGGCCTGTGAGGGGCCCCACAGGCTTGTCAGGGGCACCCCAGGTCTGTCAGGGACACCAGAGACCTGCCAGGGGCGCCGCCGGCCTCGCAGGGGCACCATGGGCCTGTCAGGGACACCAGAGGCCTAGCAGGGGTACCACAGGCCTTACAGGGGCACCACCGGCCTTGCAGGGGCACCTTGGGCCTGTCAGGGGCACCACAGTCCTGCCAGGGCCCAGGGGCACCAGCGGCCTAGCAGGGGCACCACAGGCCTGCCAGGGGCACCACCGGTCTAGCAGGGGCACCATGGGCCTGTCAGGGGCCCCACCGGCCTCGCAGGGGGCACCACCGGCCTCGCAGGCATCACGGCATCACGCAGGGGCACCTTGGGCCTGTCGGGGGCATCACGGGCCTGTTGGGGGCAATTTAGGCTTGTCAGGGGCACCACAGTCCTGTCAGGTCCCAGGGGCATCAGCAGCCTAGCAGGGGCACCCTAGGCCCGCCAGAGGTACATACCACAGGCCTGCCAGGGTCCAGGGGCACCACAGGCCTAGCAAGGGCACCACGGGCTTGTCAGGGGCACCTCAGGCTCCCGTGCCCCCCCCTCCCCCCCAGATCCGCCAGTGATGCCACACCACGCGAAACACCGCCAACTACCAGCTGCCGCGCCATAAACACGTGCCAACAACAGTCTTTTTTTTTTAGGTCGACTCCGCTCGCGCAACTTTTGACTGACCCTCACTGCTACTATATTGCTTCCATATTATGCTGTGGAAAGCTTTACTTCACCAAGTGGCTAAAAACCTCCATCAAGGTATATTTTCTTAGCAATTTTTCTGGCGTTTTGGGGGGGGCCAAACAGGCCACTTTAGGCCTTTGGGGGGGGCCATGGCCCCCGTGGCCCCCCCCTGGATCCGCCAGTGGCATAGTTACGATACTAAGCATACCATGTATTACCTGTACCACATTTTGCTGGAATACGGAACGTGCTAATTTTGTTTTAGAGCAGTTACGCTCTTTTTAGGCGTGTTACCAAGCCTAGTGAACCGCTAATTAAATTAACGTCAGTGCGTAACGAACTTTGTGCAATTATGCTTGGTTTGTGTTTGGGCGTTTTGGGGCCCTGACCGCGGCTCGGCGGCGAGGATGGTGTTACATCATACCTATTTCAGGAGGGCAGTTCCCGGGGAGGAAGCGTAAGGGCAACGCATTGAACCTCATGCGGTAATTAACAGCAGCCTCTGCGGTGTAAATGTGCTTTCACTGTTGGCTTAGACGCTGCACATAAATAATTACATCCCAAAGGCGTGCAGCAGGTAGGAACAGACGCATAGACGTTTTATAGTAGGGCGGCTGAATTCGGAAGTCAATTCTCAATGAGAAACGGTAATATCTGTGTAAGAGAGAAATGGGTTAAGATATGAGTTTTGACGTTTCTGCATTTAATGAGTCTGTTTTCTAGCTTTATCAGGAAGCTCTGTCAGTGTTATTATCTAATTCATGTTCTTATTGGTAGCTTTACGCTAAGAGTAACGGTTGTAAATATTCCGGTTGGTAAAAGCAACTGAATAAATTAAATGGGGTAGACTTTCGTGTGTTTGATCAGCTGAAGCATCCATGGTAGGTAGATAAACGCTGAGGGAATGTGATTATGTTGGGCATAATTTGAATATTAACCCATCTCGCCAGCGCGGGTGTCTCTCAGCTGGTTTTTACCGGTTCATCTCAGACTCAGTCTGTTTTATCTCGGTATCAGCTGTCTGAGACTTGCCGGCTGCCGCAGTCATGTTTCCCGGTAACGGTAATTGTCCCCCACAGACTGCAGAGTGCAGAGTCAGTCAGAGCTCGTGGCCGGAAACCAATAATTACACCCACCCAGCTTTGCCGCTTTGACACAGACTCTACATTGGCCGTTACCCTGGGCGGTGACGTGGATTGACGACGGTATCCGTGACAGAGGCGTTCGAGGGTGTTTACATACATGTGTTCGCGAATCACTGTACTCGCGACTCTGAGCGCCGAAAGGCGTTGTATTGTAGGTGCCCCGTGTTGGTCGTCAGTTAGGTCGTATTCAGGCCCGGGGGTATTCGGGACAATGGGAAGGACATCGATCGGAGCTTTGGTCTCCGAGGGCACAGAAACGTCTCGGTTAGGTGAATGGATCGGTCAATGATCAGTGCCGAGGTGGAGCCTGGAGCCAACTAACTGCCTCCAGTAACAAGCTTCGGAGAAAGTCATAGCGGGGAGGGGGGGCGGAGGCGACACAGGGGAATAGGGGGGGGGGGGGTGGCGACGATCCTTTGGGGGAGGGAGTTTAGGCTCTTCTTAACCTTCCAGGCGGTGGGGGGGCATTTTTTGCCCCCCCCCCTTTAGTTTTTTCGATATACCGGGTGGCCCAGAAAAAACGTTCCCAATTTTAAATCAATATTTCTCAGAAAGTGATAAAGATACAACATTGAAACTTCCGGTAGTCAATGCGACATATATTTTCAGTGAATGGTATGATTTTTATGTTATTCGGTCAATTACTTTTTAAACGGTTCGTGTTTCTAGCATGCCATGTAAAAATCACTTTTTTGCTCTGATGTTTACCAAAAATGTGAGTGAACGGGCCACTTCCATCTCGGCACCACGGCCTACAGCCATGACTGCTACTGGCAACTATGTAGTCTCATTGGTGGTTCAGGCCTCAGGGTGACACATTCCCTCTAGCTTTTTTTCTTATTCGGTCGATTTACAATTTGATCTTCTTGAAGGGAGGGCGATCAGCAGTAACCCATACACCGTGCCACTCCTTCGCCTCGAAACAGGACTTGTGTTGAAACGAATGGCATCCATTAACACAACTTTGGCTTAGTATTTGAATTTTTGGCACATAAGTGTGACAAAAATATATAAAATAGCAACACACGTGCTGGTATCATTCAAGTCGTTCTATTTTTTTTTTTTTGTATTTTTTCTAACATGGTACGTCTAAGCCAATCACTACTTCCGTTCAACAACGGCAAAAAAAGCAAAAACTTCTTACTTGATTCAACATAAGATTGCTGGCTTGAAAATTATGGTACAGTGTTATAATTTGGCATACCAATGCGCAAAGAAGTGACGCAGGCTTGATGAAAATTTTGGCTCGTTATTTGCACTCGAATTTGAGATATAGGCCTCCAAAGTTCGGAACGTTTTTTTTGGGCCACCCGGTATCTTGAGAACCGCTGCGCCGATCGTCACCAAACTTTCAGTACTCTCCTGGGAGCAGCTAGCGCACATGGTGACCAAAAATTTTTCTAAAGGCTATGATAGGTTGGCCGCTAATGACGTCAGAGTGACGTCATTTTTGCCATTTTCGACCAAAAAAAAAGGTTTCGCGGGAAGAGCTGTCAGGCCTACAGCTTTAGAGATACAGAAAAATGTTTTAGACATAAAAGGTGTAGAATCAAAAGGGCTACAAAACTGCTATTTCGGTTTTTCGATTTTTTTTGGATTTTGACCCCCAAAAATCAAAAAATATATTTTTTGAATATAATAGCCAAAAAATCCAAAAAGTTTTTTTGAATTTCGAAAAAAACGGAATATATGTGATAGTCCCTACCGCCTTCTATCTACATACTAAATTTGAGATCGATAACTCTTTTTTTCGCCAAGTTATAGCGAAAAAAAAACTGTTCAAAATTGATGACGTCAAATTTTCAAACTCAATTTTTAGCAATTCTAGACCTTGTAGCGCAAAACAAAGACCACCATTAGACTCCCCGTGACGAGCTGCATCGAATCGATACCCATTTTATGCAAAAATGTCAACTTTGAAACTTGACCTTTTTGACCTGACCTTGACCTGACCTCCACCAGAAAGTGACCTAAACCGTACCTGATGCTCTTATAACCAACACCATTGAGTTTGAAATGAAAAACTGGCCATAAAACATGCATCACATAACCTTAGTAAAGTTGGGCTCATGTGGTGACCCTTGGTGACCTTTGGTGACCTGACCTGGTATGACCAGTGACCTCTAATAGCAACATATGTATGTACTAGACAACTGACGCCTTATCGCTGATTTTCGACAAAATGCGTTTTACTCGGTGTTATAGCGCTTTCCCTAGAAGCCCCGTGAACGGTGAAACATTTTATCTTTGACCTGACCTGTGACGTCATCGGTGACCCCGAGGTCAATGAAATTTGGTTTCCCTTGACAAATTTGACAGGGCTATCGAACGCCCTTTGAATTTTCCGGATCCGTCCAGTAGTTTCGGAGATACGGGGGGGGGGCAAAAAAATGCCCCCCCCCCCCCCCACCGCGCGGAAGGTGGCTGGTAGGCCCACCGCCTGCCGGGTTAAGGGAGGAGGACAGCAATGTATCAATTTGGAAATGCGGGAAGCATTTGAGCCCCAACCGCACCCCTCCATACACATTATCATATTTGTATAACCCAAAGGATAGAATGGGCGCCGAACGCGGCGACTTTCCTTCAGCTACCTGGGGAACAACGCATTGTGGAACATCGCGCTTACAAGACGACCTGTCCCACCTGGCAGTTCAGAGCATGACACGCTTTCTGTATATAGTTAAATAGTTATATGAAATGAACTATGAAATGAACACTACGAATAGTACCCATATTCAACGGAAGAGCCGGGGCAGCCACGTGGCTGAGTTCGTGATGCCTATCCTACTCCCCCCTCTTCCCTCCTAATCTGAACCAGCCGGGCGTTTCTGTTACCCCTCCTCCCCCTTCTCAGGGTCGTGCGGAGTAACCTCTCCCCCTACTCCACCCTCACCCTATATTGGAGCATGGAAGAGATGAAATGGCAGCGAAGGAGCAAAGGGCGGGCCCGGTACCGCGTCGCAGCGATTTAAAGCCGATAATCTGAATCTAGGGACCGAGTGCTTCGGTCCTCGACCTCGAATAGACGGGACAGTCTTGGATTAAACGGCGAAGTTTAGTCAAGAGATACGTGCGTGGTGACTGACTGCCGATCAACTGTTAGCACTGTTAGCCTCTTCGACTGGCGAGGACTGCCAATAGATTACTTATGTAACAAGGTCAAGAGTCTGACGCTTGACGATGTCGCGATGAGGTGTCCCCTGTGTATGTATCAATCACCGACCGGACCTACGTGAGCCGCCACTCCCTCGCGCCCAATCTATAGTTAGAAGTCCGCACAAAGCACGCGTGCCACCTCAGCATCTCGACCGGGCACTCTGTGGAGATGGTGTCACCCACGCCGGACGGCGCGCTTTTGACCCACACCAGACTGAAGTCAGATCAATGTATTGTCCAGCTCCGGTCTCAGATCGGCCGAATGCCACAGCGGTGCTGCAACTGTCCGAGAAAGCCTGAATGCGCAGCATTCGTGTTTGCGTTACCGTGCGTCGTTAACATTTCCAATCAGTGCGCTACTTGGAACGGTCGAGCTATGTCGAAGCTTCTTTTGTCAAGTTACGACGAAATGGTGCTGATGAAAGGCTTCTTGTAGTGCGCGCCGCCAGCGGCAGGTCAACGTTTGTCTGGTCACTGTGACCGCAACGCTCCCGGACGGAGGGGCGTCAATGAATTCCGACACGGGGAAACAGACCGGTGCTCTAAAGACACCGGGACGAGCGTCTCGTCAGACGGCCGATTAATCACGGGACCGTGCGAAATCTATTCCCATGATGTCTTTGTTCGTCCGCTAAAGGTACTTAAAGGATGCCGTGATCCGATCGTCGGATTGGAGCTATTTCTCAGCACAGACTGAGTCGCCGCTCCACTGCGTCCACTATGGGCGTCAGCTCAGCAGCGCACTCCCAGCCTGGCGCTGACTCAGCTCCCACAGGGAGAGTAGTATCGACACCGGTGACATATTCACCCCGCCGAGACTCGCGGGGGCCGCCGAGGGGTCATAGATCGTTCACCGATGGGTCATGGGCGTGCACCGATGTTAAGTCGATGCTTCGGGAGGTCATTCTAATTAGAGCGAAAAAGTCGCTTTGGTACACACGCCAGACGATTATTCTGAAACAGAACAGTCGAGCCCGTAAAAATAGGCATAGACGTAACATAACACTACCGGTGCCTGGAAAAACAGGCAATGTAAAAAATCACTCCGCTTCACGGAAGCGTAATCCGTCACCAATGTCCGTCACGGGAGGGGGCGTCACGGGCCGTCACGCGGCTCACTGTCGGAAGGAGCCGGCCAGTGTGACGTAGTCGCCGATCATGAGCGCCTGGCTGAGCGGGTACTGCTGCGGCTGCGGCTGGGGCGGCGCGGGGTCGGCGGTGGTGGCGGCTGCCGCCGGCCGACCCTGCGCCGGCCGCACGGCCGTAGCCCGCGAGCTGGCCGCCGCCGGCGCCGGCCGCTTGGGCGCGCTGGTGGCGGCCACCGGTCGGCCGCTGGACAGCGCCGCCGCCGGGATCGAGCCCGGGTGGATGGCCGCTTGGTTCACCAGGCTCTCCACTGAAACGGGTGAGGCACAGCGGTCACAACCGGGACACATCTGGTACTCCGGGGGCACATCGAGACCCGGCTACCAGTGCTGGGAGGAAGGTCAAGTATACCCCTCCTGGCGGAATGACAATTATAACTTACAGGACGATCGCTACATTAATTTCATCGCTACATTAATTTTATGAAGCGCAGTAAGCATTAATGGACCACAACCGTTGTCATAAACTATACGCACTACTGAGCCTCCCCGAAGTGTTGGATGGTGAGCTGATTTCTCTCTTGAACGCTAATTACTTTCGCAGCCAACCAACATCATTATCCATTCAGAGCTCTTTGAAGTTACCGACCTACCGAGCACCATCCCGCGCCGCCGCCGCGCCGTTTTGAAACGACTAACGAGCGTATCTTACGAGATTACCAAAGGCCCACACACGCACACATTCCGCTGTTTGCGATTAATAATGCCAGTCGCAAACCGCGCACGTGTAGGCGATAAACCCAGTCCGGCGGCGGACCGTGGCAAGCAGCGCGGCGCGGGTGGGCTCTCTGTTCAATACGAGTGACCTGGGGCCGGCCGGACTCACCATTCAGTACGGTGTTTTGCAGGCCGGAGGTGTCCATCGCGACCTCGCCCAGTCCGTTCACAGTCATACCGTGCAGCAGACTCAGAGCTGTAGCACACAGTCGCGCAGGGTCAGTCAGCAAGTCGGGCGTGGGTCAGTTTGACAATCGGCATGAGAGGCAATCGTCAGTCAGCGTAACACGATGCATACGTTATCGGTCAGCGTTTACACAGGTAAGCGGAGGGACGGCCAACCAAGTCACGTGAAGTAGCCTTCCATCGTCTTACCAGAAAAAAAAACATCGCTTATGTTCAGTCAGCTGACCTATAGACAATTTTCCCATTTCATTCATTGATAATAATGCGAAATAGACCTTGCTGGCCTTATTCTCCACAACTGACCGGACCCACCAGGCAGTGTCGGCCCCAGCTCACCAGCCGGCCCCCACTGACCGTGTTTGGCGCCCTGGGCGTCCACCGTGGCCCAGTGCTTCTCGCTGGGGCTGACGGAGTTGTAGCCGGGCGGGGCGGCCGGCGCTGCGCCCGTATACCGGAACAGTGGGTTCTTCAGGTCCAGCGTCACCGTGCTCGATACGCCCGTCGCCTCCACTTGCAGGGTGATGGTGACGTCATAGCTCTGCCTGCGGGGGACGCGGTCACCTCATAGCCCTGGGAGGGGGGCGGGGGTGTCCAGGAGCGCGCTATCTAATTGTCTGGTGTGTCACATCAGGGTTGGCATTTTTGCCGGCAAAAACTAGTTTATGCCATTTGCCGGTTTAAACCGGTTTCAACCGGCAAAAAGTGGCAAAAACTGGCAAAAACTAAAATCTATCATGATGCTATGCCTAGACATGCATTTGAACAGGAAACATTTTAAAGAGGATTCAGTGAAAGCTTTATGCTTTCAAACAGAAGTCAGATATTGACCATTGCAGTGTTTAATACCTCAGAAGCATTTTCATGGGCTTTCCATAAGTAACCAGTAAGACGCCTTTTGGGGGTGACAAATGAGCCAGTGCAAGGGCGAGTCCTGCACATGCAGAAGTGCGAAAGAGTATCAGCTGCCACTGATATGTGCACGGCACCCTACTTACCGGTTCCTAACGGTGCCAGTACCAAATTTGAGCGCAATCGAGGCAGCCGTTCTCGAGAACTGTAAGCGTCGCCCCTCTTGTGCGCATGTGGAAAGTGGAGGTGTTCCAAATTTGAGAGCAATCGGCCCAGCCATTCTCCTGTTCTGCTCGGAAGCGTCCCTTGCACGTGTGCACGTGCATTAGCATCCCAACCGTGATACATGGAAATGCATTGTGTGCAAGGCATTGTGTGATGGACGTCTACCAACATGCAGTCATTTTAAGCAGAGGTTAACTAATTTGGCAAACTTCATCATGTTTAGTGCCCCTCTATAACTTCTAGAAATGCATTTGTGCATTTCAAATCAATTGGAAACTAGAAAAGTTGTAGTTTCGGCCTCCTGAGTTTTAGCCAGTTTTTGCCAGTTTCTGCCACCGGGGTTTCTGCCAGCCGGTTAAAACCGGTTAAAACCACTGGCAGAAACCAGTTTTTGCCACCCCTGCCAACCCTGATGTGCAGGATGTGGCGCGGGGCGTGTCGCCCCGGCACCCGGCACGGCTCGATAACCGCTGTCATACGTCACTACGGAATACGGATACGATGCCCAATGTCTATCACCACCTGTTTCCCAGAGATGGTCGATTTACCAACACAATCGAGCCGAAAACGGTGGAGCGCAGCGTGCTGTGATGCGACTTCCCTGCGGCGTAATAATTAATATGCCACCGTAATTTTCCGTGTATGAATGAAACATGATAATTAACGTAGTATGTCACATGAGTGGTAAAAAAGACCACATTTCCTGGTTCACCATGCACAGCGGCTGTATGCCACCATTGCTTGCTGAGATTTTGCGTTTCAATACGTAGTGACTAGTGAGCCATCGTCTACCCCCCGATGTTTGAAACCTCGTTCGCCATCATAGCAAACATACCAACCACATCAAACCGATACCAGTCACACCAAAAACAAACACGGCTTTGTGCTGCCAGTACCAGACCGGTACCTAATAGTAGGTACCGGTACCTACCGTGAGGGTACCGGTACCCAGTTCAGTCAGTACCCACCTCTGATTGGCCACCATGAGCACTCGCCCGGTGAGCATCTGTCCCTCCTTGGCGGGCAGCGGGTGCCGGAGCAGGCAGCGCACCTGGTACCAGTGTGTCAGCGGCTCTGTGGGAGCCGTGCTCAGCCAGACCGTCTGCTGCGAGCCGCAGAACGCCACGTCGAACCAGAAAGCCAGGCCGTGCACCGTGCCCGTCTCCAGCATGTGGAACTCGACCGGGATGTCTGCGGGAGGGGAGGTCAGGTCAGTCCGTCTTCAGCGTATGAAGCTTCAGATAAATGTCTGGGGGAGGGGCACACAAAGTCGGACCGCTTGTGTGAAATCAGGTCTGTTGACTGTTGACATTGAGCAGCTTTGTTAACGCGCGCACCTCTTCTGAGTCATAATTAAACGCCTCGGGGAAAGGTTATTAAGATGTAAGTACATATTTCAATTATTGTTTGTCTTATTGTTGTTTGCAACGGTGTACTGTCCAACTAACGAACGTCAATCCCCATTGTCACGTTAACAGAAGCATGATAGTATTATAACGACGGCATCTTGCGAATTCCCCGACGAAAAATAAATAAAAACAAAACTAGCCAAGGGGCATCTACGGATGCAGCATGACTCCTCCCCCCTCCCTCCATATTTTCCAGCTGACTTAGCATATCCCCCTGCCCATTAGACCACATGCAGTCCCCTCCCCCCCCCCCCCCCCGGCTCCTACCGATGCGGTGCAGGTCGCGCTCCTCGGCCGTGGAGAAGTCGAGCACGTGCCGCACCGCCTTGGCCAGACAGATGCGCACGTCAAACGTGTCCACCACCGGCTGACGGAAGTACTCCTCGGCCGCCCGCTCTCGCAGCGAGGTCAGGTTCACGCCGTGAAAACTGTTCTGGTACCTGAGTACAGGGGGCAAGCGTCAACGACGAAACATCGAAACTCACTGGCCACAAACGTCGGAACGGACACATCTCTGCCGCTGCTGGATACAAGACGAATACACGGTTGAAAGGGTCACCGAACTATTAATTGTCAACGATGCATTCAAGGCGATTACCGTGTACAACGTCAAACATGAAAAGTGTCTGTCATATTGCCTCCCAAGACAGAAAGGTTATAGCAGGATCTGCAAATTGCAAAACCGGAATAGGCGCATTATATGCAACTTCACATTTGACGTCAACGTTGATGCGTCAAACCTCGAAATAAGCGGATAAAGGCATCCGCATTAGGACAAACAGTCCAAGCCTTTGAAGCGGTGCCGGTACACCCGCTACGGGGAACACTATCCGAGTATCAGTCTGACCAATGAACTCGGACGCATGCTTGTATATTTTGAAACCAGAAATCCCTGTCGGAGGATATCAGTATACTGTTAGATCAAACGATGAAGAGGCGAAAACGGCCGGAACCGTGCTGGTCAATAATGCCAGAAAGCCGCCTTTTGAGTGACGAATGAGCGAGCGTAATCGCGAATAATGCACACGCATCAGTGCAGGGTGAGATCTCGTTGACTCATTATGTGGGCCAGTGGCCAGTCCTTCTAGCCGGTTAACAGTGTAGTAAACTAGATCGCAATCGGTCCATCCGCCGCCCTTTGAGATGTAGACGCGTCATCTGCACGTGCGCACGTGCAATGGCACTCCAACCGTGGCGCATTGAAATGCAACATCCGGTGGTGATTATTGGCCCAGTCTCCGTCACATTGTCAGTCGAATATACTAATTATTGCAATAGGTACAATCTTGATACCATGCATTTGGCAGATGGCACCTAGTGCACTCGTTCGACTCGCACCTCAATTCTAATTCTAGCTCAATTAGGGTCAAACGAAAGGGGGTCTGATCGGTTCTCCTTCCTCACTGTGCGTTGGCTGCTACAGACGACCGTTGAGTAACACACCAATCAAACTCAATCGCTTTATGATTTGTCATCCGAATTATCAAGCTGCTACGATCGATGAGCAATTAAGGCGCAAAACTATTAAGGAAAACAAATAATAATAGTAAACACAGACTAGGTATTCAGACCTCAAGAGGTGCTCCGGCCATTTTTCAGGACAGGGGCGTTATCAACAGTCAAGTCTAATGCCTAACCGTGCTAACAGCGTCACGCCTGTCCGGCCGTCTAACGGCGGCGGTACGTACCAGAAGTTGGCCTTGCTGTACTGTTCCATGTAGAGGGCGTCGTCTCGGAAGGGCGCGATGTGTAGGTCACCTCGACTGGGGAACAGTTTCCCTGTGGCAGGGCGGGCCGAGTCACAGGGCGGTCAACGCAGAGGAGGGGGAGGGGGGTCGTCCCCTGCGCCGTCCAACACAACAGGCAGCGTGGCACAACGGGTGCGGTACATACACAACACAACGCTGCACACACGTCAGCGTATACAGCTGAACCGGACGGCACCCACAACGTCCAGCGACTACCGTACAGTTGATTCAGACAGCAAAACGATGATTCAAACACTGCATTGGAGTTTGCCAGCCAACATCCGCACTGGGTTTCACCATATTGCTGTCAGTTGCGGTATGCATAACGTAAATTGCACAATACAGTCGTTATCATTGTTTTCTACAGACAACAGCCGCGGTCTGTGCGAATTTAGTGCAAGAATGACATAATCGCACACGGCGAGTCTGTTACAACTAGAGTCAAACACAGCTGCACCGCAGAATAATGAGTTGACCTGAGTGCCCATCAGTTCCTAGTGAATCATGAAACAAGCTCACGAGTCGCCGCCCCTGACTCACCGCCCGGTTTGAGCCACTTTTTGGCGTGCAGGTAGGTCTCGAGCATGCGCTCGTTGTAGAGCATGTAGCCCATGGGCTCCGAGATGATCATGTCGACCTTCTCGGCCAGATTGATCTCCTCGATCTTTCCGGCCACCACCTGGATCACGTGCTGAAGGTTGTTGGCCGCCACCAGCCGCTGCGGGAGGCACCGGGAGGTGGCGTTAGGGGTCGGGTTCGTCATAGGTGGATGTCAATTACAAGAGCTCAAAGATCGAGACGGAAGTAGCTGTTGAGGTAGGGCGTGTATTAATATGCCAGATATACGCGGTGGTATTATAGCCTTCGTCGTAAAAAGGTTTTTCGCAATGTATTTCGGTAACCACATCAATCCGTTGTGCGGAGCGTATACATCCCAATATTGAGCACCGAGGTAATTAGATCACGGATTGACGCGGGCAGCTGACGGAATATGACGCCCACCATAGGTACCCACTAAGGTACCCAGTATATAAATCAGGTGAATACTCCCACCGCCCACCGTCCGACCACTCACAGCAGCGTGTTCCGACATGGAGCTGGCCTCGACGGCGTACACCTTCTTGGCACCGGCCTGGGCGGCGAAGAAGGAGAGAATTCCAGAGCCCGCTCCCACGTCCAACACCACCTGAAACGACGGGCCAGTGACGGCATCCGCACCACTCCGTAATTTAAATCACACAGTCAAAACAGTGCCTCCCTATTGGCGACGGGGAAACTACGGCAAACATAGCTGTGTGTACTCATTCTGACAAAAGAAGCAGCCTTTATTTTGGTATCGGTCATTTTTGCCTAAATTCATAGAGGTTAACAGGAGCAGGCAAAGTTACTTTAAAACAGAGCCAGCAGCAAATGTGGTGGGTCCATGGAGTTGCTCAGTGTGCAACAAGCTCTGCTTACTGGGTACCCCATTCTGTAGAACTCGCATCAACATTAGAGATATTTTCATAAAAAAGTTATTGTGCACGTTTTGGGTCTGATGGGCTCCTAGTCCCGTGCCAGCCTCTCAGAGCCCGGGTGGCGGCGTACCTTGCCAGTAAAGTCGGCCGCGTTGGAGAGGATGGCCCGCTGGTAGGTGCCCGTCCTGATGAAGTCCTGTAGCATGTTCTGCTGCTGGGAGAGGTAGCTGTAGAACTGTGGACAGACAGGAATCACAGCATTATAAACACAGCCAGCCACAAGTTCAACTACAAAGCATCGTGCACGACGCACGTCAGCGATCTGTTTTATCAACAATGAATGGGTGTCAGCATATTGTACAAACTTAAAAAGCACCCTACACAGTCTGATAACCTTTGTCCCTGTCAGGGCTAAAAATTACAAAAACAAATACTAGGGTTGACTATTAAGTAATGGAAGTGCCTTAAGCAATTGAACGTTTTTGCACGTGCACATGTTTTCTTGGTGTCAGTTCATGCGCCGATGTTTTTTCTATCCAATGGTGAAGACCACATGTCCTTAGCTACTTTTTGCTCCAAGCTATCGTCGTTTTCCCAAGAGACCACCCAAACCTGCGGCGCACCACGAAAAAGGAGTCTGGCAATGGCCAAAATCGCGCGCCAAGCGCCAGCGCGAGGTCATCAGAGCTTATTGGCTTATTGTTATGGCTACACAATGGACAATATCTATATTTTCATCAAAACAATACAGGGTGTCCCATAAGTTCGTTCTCACATTTGTTTGCATGTGAAACAGAGTACATTGCGTTTTGGTATATTTATGACCCCTCAATGTGCTCCCCATTTAATAGGCAAACACATGAATACATGCTGCGGCATGCCAACCGGCATGTTTGGCTGCATAGCAGGCTTAAAGTTAACCCAGACTGACTTGACATGCGCCGTGAGCTCCTCGAGGCTGGAAGAGCGCTACGCTTCAACGAGCCTCAACTTCAGCATAACCAACAAATTTTTATGAAATTTTGATCCGATGAGGTGCCTGGCATGTGATCTTGCCACAAACGCCTGTCACAGTCTCCTTGCACCGCTTTTAAGCTTTGCTTGACCTGTGCACTGATGCACTGTCTTGCCTGAAGATGGGCCTACGACCTCCCGGATGCCATTTTCTCCTCTATAAATGTGTTCATACTCGCGGTTCGAGTTCAGCTTGAGGGCTGAAATTCCTCCTAGATGTTCTTGGAAAAGCATTCTGCTTCCCAAAACTGTTTCCGGGTTGCCACTTGTAACTTGATCAACTCCAGAACGCCTATAACCCCACAACACAGTGACCCTGACCTTTTGCATAGGAACATAACGGGACGAAATGAAGGCCTCCTCCTTCGCCCTTATGGGGTTGTTTTCGGGTTTGGACGGGTGTTTCATCTCGAACGTGGACTAGTTAGTCCAGATGACCTGGTTGATGTCATCAGTCCTCTAGTTTTGTTTAGCCTCAGGCATAACGAAACTCATGTTTGGCCATTTTAAGACGTTTTTGACTTTTTTGAGCCTTCCGGTAAGCAAAGCTTAAGTCACCTTTGAGTTATGTACCCCGAAAGAACACTCTTAGACAGCTGGTAATCCATCCTGAAAAGTCTGTTTACCAACTTTCTAACCCTTTGACCTTTTTGATGGCCACTTTGGCGCCACACAGTTTTGGCCACTTGGCTCATTCCTGAGGGCTGGCTAGAAAGAGGATAAACTTGCAGTTATTGACTTCCAACAAATCATCGGCGTCACTTGCTGACTGTGCGTCCAGTTAGCGATGGATATTGGCTACAGACTGGTAGGCCTCAATCACCCTCAATCGTCGCGAATGGTCACGTGCTGACTAAATACTGAGACGTACCCGTATCGGAGACCTCTATGTTGCGGCGTTAGCCGTCTCTGTAGGAAGCGGGCTCTAGCAAAAACTATTTTGTCTACAGAAATTAGCTACTGTGGAGCATATTTCTACCAGCCATGGCAACCATGTAAGCTCAGTTACGAACCAATTTCAGCGTGCCTTTAAGCAAGAAAGCCTAAAAACGTAAAATGTAGGTGAGAACGAACTTATGGGACACCCTGTACACATTGGCACGATAAATGACAGCATACACTACTCCACATAATCGCCTTCAAGCATCACACACCATTCCAGCCTCGTCTTGACCCACTCCTGGAACGCCGCCAGAAGACTGATCGGCGCTTTCTTTCTCAAACCGATGAAACCACCGACTTATCGTCTGTGGGGAGGCTGCGTCGCTCCATACACTTATAAAATAAATTTTATGATCTTGGTAGGCCTTTTCCCTACAACAAACTGAGCTCTAATGACCTTGCACTCGGCGCTGGCGCGCGGCTTTGGCCATTGCCAGGTGGTGCGCCACAGGTTCGGGTGGTCTCTTGGGAAAACGACGATGGCTTATAGCAAAAAGTAGCTAGGGACATGTGGTCTTCACTATTGGATAGAAAAAAGATCGGCGCATGAAATGACACCTAAATAATGTGTGCACGTGCAAACCCGTTTAATTGCTTAAGGCACTTCCATTACTTAATAGTCAACCCTAGTATTTACAGAGACGAAGAAATACGATGGACGAAGAAGCGTAGAGACAGGGAAATCTCGCTGGACGAATGCGAGAAAATTTGCACTTTCGAATAAACAGAGGATAAATGAGACGCGACGAAAATAGCGCCACAATAACTGGCCTACGAAGAAATACGAGACGAACACCGGCCCCGTTTGAAGTGTACACTGACCTGGAAATACTGTGAGGCCGAGGCCTCTTCCGTTCTCTCAGAGAACACTGAAGTGGCCTGACCAGACTTGAAATCCTGTATGTGAGTGCTGAGTCGCTGACAATCTGGAAATAAGAAAAGGTGTGCCGTCATAAATGCAGATGGGTGAAAATTGAGAGTTTAACTGATAAAAATGGCTCTAGCAATAGCAAGGAGTGCAAACAACAAAAAGGTCGGGAATAGCTAAGGAAGCAGGACATATTACCAAAACCTAGAATTACTTGAACCTAAATGACACATGCATATCATGGATGAAGTATTCCTGGATAGGACACTCCCTATTCCCCAACACCAGCGCCGGCGACCAAGCGGCCACCCGAAAAACGCGGTAATGGAGGGCGAAATTAGCGAGGTCTAGCTCGTAAGACACGATTTCAGACACTTTCACATATTTTTAGTCCTTTCTTATGATAATTATGGCTTCATTTAGTCACTATCACATACGGAACCATTAGACACGATCTGCCCATAGCACGCAATGCTAAATGGCGCCTGCGCCCTCGCCGTCGTGCGTGGTCAGATAATCGGCGGAGTGTCCCATCCAGGAATACCTAATCCATGTGCATATCATGCTGCACGGGTCACTTCCACATCTCATCTGTCTCCCTAAAGGCCTCTTACATTGTCTCCATTAAGGCCTCTTCCCAGTTACCCACTTATAAGTACAAAAAGAAGTACTCAACCAAATATTTACTGGCCTATAGAAGACTTGCATTTCCATGTCTTTTCTACATAAATACCTAGTAGGAAGAATATGGGTGGGTAATGGGTATGTACTGATAAAAGAACATAAAGACCGATAATTGAATAAAGATTCAACCCACTCTAAGTGCTAAAGCTTAATGAGGAGTCATCAGATAACTATATAAGAGAAGTGTTGCATTGAAATGAGAAAAACAGCAATGCAAAAAAGGTTAGGTTTCACAACCTTCTCAGTTTTATGTTTTGCTTCAAACTGATGATGCTACTTTACCTAGACATTAAGAAGAGAAATATGGTTTATAAGGACCAAACTTACCCTGTGTACTGTCAAGAACAATCATGAATGCATCAGTGCTCAGAGAGAAAATGTATGCTGTTTTCCCAGCCTTGCAGCATTCTGTTGTCTTTGAGACAGGAAACTCCAGTTGGACTTTTTCATCTGAAACAGAGATAAAATAGGTATCTGTCCTGTCATTGGTGTGAAAAGGGGTGTGGGAGAGTTTCAAAAGAAAATTTGCAATTAAAACTAGTGGATTTTTGTGTGAAATCTCACATAACAAGCTTGAACAAAATTCTGACAGCTTTTTATCAACTCTCTGCTATGCACAAACCTATATTATTAGCCTATACTAGCTGTAAGCACTAGTCTAGTAGTTGCTCTAGTAGTTGTAGTTGCTAGCAGGTCAAAATGCTAGCAATTTTGCAACTAAATAACCCAGGGCTAAGTTACCACTGGTGGTCCTGGACGTCAGAACTGTCTACCCATCCCCTACCCCCACGCCCGCTGCACACATCGCACTCAGCAGTTTGCGGTGCCCGTGAACACCCCTCAGGTATTCAACTCACCAACTTACCTTGTAAAACTTTGACACTTATTCCAGCAGGATCATAGGACAAGCGAATTTGTGCCTTTCCTGACAGGTGGTTCACAGAAGAGCCGTCTTCATGGATTTTGTTTATCAAAACATTGTCAAAAACAGCTGCCATTGTTATTGCTCAAAATGTTTCCAGAATAATGTGCGATTCGAGGGCAGACGTGTACCTCAAGGACTTCTCAATAGTTTATGACAAGATTCATGGGGAGCGGGTGAGTTTCTTCGTGAAAATAACTAAGTTATCCGAAAAAAATCTGCCATAAACTACAGCCGGCGCCCGGCCCCAGCAGAGCACCAGGGTATATTGAGTGAAGCAGAGCACAACCAAAGCACAACACACGACCCGGCGCGCGCGCCCCGCCGTTGGTTGTGTGTCTGCGCCATTCAAGACAAGGTGCGCAAAGAACGAACCATTTATTAGCTTCCATATACCAAAAAAGTGCTACCACTTTTTGCCTTTACTGTTACGCCTATGCTCAACACGCGTACCTATTTCGAAACATGCGTACACTCGGGGGCAGATTGATGTTCCACCACTCCCTACTCTTCAGGCTCCCATTGCTCAACACTGGCAGCGGCCAGTGGCAGCACTGGCAGCACTGGCACTGGCAGACAGTGCTGAGCAGTGCTGAGGGCAGGCAACACTGGCAGCAGCCACTGCTGAGCCATGGGAGCCCGATGGGTAGGGGGAGGCGGAACATCAATCTGCCCCCGAGTGTACAAGTAGGTACGTACCTTACCTACTATGCAGGGCTGCGGAGTCGGAGTCGGAGTCGGAGTCGGGGTCGGAGTCGGTCGGAGTCAACAGTTCTGCCCGGACGGTCGGAGTCGTAGTCGCCAAAAGCCCACCGACTCCCTCTCCGGAGATGTCCGTGAAGTTAGCGTCAGCAACAGCAACGAATACAGCGTCGGATTCAGAATCGCTTCAAAAACTCCTATCAGGTCAATTGTGGGACGGGGAGCAAGAATATGACCTTTATTTGGCCCTAGCTCTTACCACTTACCCCTTAATCGGCCCTTAAAGGAAGGGGCGCGTCAAAAGTGCCTTAAAACCCGCGCCCCATAGGGGGGGCCGAAACGGCCCCCATGTCCTTTTCCGTCGATATCTCCTAAACGGCTGGAGATATCGCCACCAAACTTTCAGGACCCCTCTGGGCATCAATATTACACATTGTGACCAAAAATTTTTCCAGAGGCTATGATATGTTGGCCACAAATGACGTCAGAATGACATCATGCTATGCCATTTTCGACCGAAAAAAGACCTTCGCGAGAAGAGCTGTCAGGCCTACAGCTTTGAAGATACCAAAAAATCATCAAGACATAAAAGGTGTAGAATTGACAGGGCTATAAAACTGTAATCTCGAATTTTTGAAATTATTGAGTTTTGAACCGCAAAAATAAAAAATGCGCTTTTTATATATTAGTCAAAAAATCCAAAAAGTTTTTTGAGTTTGAAAACTCAGAATATATGTGATAGGTACCTACCTACCTACCGTCTTTTATCTACATACCAAATTTCAGATCGATATCTCGTTTTTTGGCCAAGTTATAGCGAAAAAAAAAACTGTTCAAAAATGATGACGGTAAATTTTCAAACTCAATTTTTGGCAATTCTAGACCACGTAGGGCAAAACAAAGACCACCATTGGACTCCCCGTGACGAGCTGCATCGAATCAATACCCATGTTATGCAAAAATATCAACTTTGAAATTTGACCTAATATATTAGGTCAAATTTGGCCTGACCCTGGCCTGACCTTGACCTGACCTTCACCAAAACGTGACCTAAGCTGGCCCCAAAGGCTGCCTGACCCACATAATCGCATTTGACCTAAGCTGGCCCCAAAGGCTGCCTGACCCACATAATCGCATTTGTCATGTAAAATGGACCATAAAACATGTATCACACGACACTTTCATATTGTGACCCCCCAGACCCGACCTCTGTGACCTGACCTGGTATCAGTGACCTCAGATAGCGAAGTATGTGTTTGACGAACAATGTACCATCGATGGTTTTCAATAACTTACCAATTTACTCGATTTCACAACACATTTCTTGTAATGCCTGTAAACGGTGAAAATGCGACCTTTGACCTGACCTGTGACGTCATCAGTTAGACCGAGGTCAATGAAATTGGGTCACAAGGTAGTTACCTGGTGGGGCTATCGAACGTCGTTTAAATTTTTACAATCGGCAGGTAACTTTCCGAGATCTTAGGGGGGGGAAACGCCCCCTCCCCCTACGGGTGGTGGGGTCCGCTGATAGCCCTACGGGGCGCGGGCTAAAGTGCCGAACCATTCATATAGTTCGGCGCCCTGTGCTCCTGCTCTCATACGCATTCTGGCTGAACTCAGTCAAACAGGTTTTTGAGGCATATAGGTTTACAGCCTGAAGGAAAAAACAGGCATCAAATGTTGACATTTGGATTTGTTTGACATCAAATACCTACCTACAGAAGTTCTAGCTTTCGTGCGGCTGATTTTATGCGTGGGCCAAGGTTGCTTGTCCTTGACTGCTTCGCTACAGGTCGATAACAAACATGAACTGTACGCATCACACTGATGTATGTAGGTTAACCAGATGACAAGCACAGGCTGAGCAATCATTGCATATCCGTATTTCAAAGCACACAGCGACGTGGTAGCTCACTGCCCACCCCTACGTACACACGGGTCGTTATTGAAAGTCGACTTCCCGTTAGTACAGTATTTCGTGAGTTTCGCTTGTTCAGCAGTCGTCTGAGGCATACTGTCTGAGCTGCCACCTGTCCGGCAGGGCACCGGTGATAGCGTCGTACTTGGTGCGCAGCTCAGGGCCCGACAGCAGCCGCCCGATGGCCTGTCTCCAGAGCTCAGCGGCAGCAGTGGCGCACGGAGACCCGCGGAAAACAGCGCACCGCTTCAGCCGGCCGTAGAGATGGCAGCGATAGTCGTCCTCCAGCTCCTGGCGAATTTCCTCGTAGGAAAGCCAGTACCAGTTGTCATCTCCAAACGATCTGTCCCATTCGCGCTTGTCCTTTTTCCAGATTGGCTTTCTCGCACGCCGTGTTCCGGGAGCATCTCTCGTCTCATCCGCTGCAGAGTTCGTGGAGCTCTGCGCAGTTGGAGGAGGCGCAACCGACCCTGGACGATGTGCCTCGAGAGCGTGCTGGTCGGCCTCGCGGCGGAGCTCCGAGCTCCCCGGCGGGCCATGGCGTCGCGTCAGCAGACTGTCGGACTCTTCACAGGCTCGCAGCAGGAGTTCTGCATTGAGCAGCAGCTCCTTCCTGCCCAGCGGCGTGTCCAGGTCAGCGGTTATACCCTCCGGTCGCTCCGCGAGAGGCAGCCGCAGCTGTTGTCGCCACCAGCTCGCCACTGCCTCGGGTTCTCCCAGCAGCAGCTGCATGTCTGAGTCTTCGAGCAGTGCCAGCAGCGGTGCCACGTCCCAGGTGTAGACGTCTCTGCCGTGCGCTACCAGCCGCGCACTGCCCACCAGGTCGTCAGGGGCCGCCAGCATCGCCTGTACAAATATGCGGCCCTGGTGGTATCGCCCGCCTAGCCGATAACGTAACAGCTCTGTCCGCATGAAGTCCGGCAGGTCGGAGCAGTTCTCCACACCAGAGACGCCCTGATGCCGATGTTTGATGATTTCCATAACTCCATGCATAGTAATGTACCGAGCTGCAATACGCTGCAGCGAGCGGTCAGAGGGCAGACGATCGCCAGACGCAGCCTCCTCACTGCCTGAGGCACTGTCTGGCGACATCCGTTGCTCGTAATGAGCGTACCACGGCTGGAGATCGAAACAGGAGTCGTGCCACGCTAGCAACCCAGCCACCACAAACTTCCTCATCTTCTGGACTTCACGCTGCGTAGCGCGCAGGTCATCAGCGGTGTACTCTGCGAAGAGGTTGATTTTCGTCCAGAAGAAGCAGTGCAGCGTGCCATCTGTGAGTGCCTTCTCCAGTTTGTCCAGAATCAGGTGCATCGCTGTGGTGGCACTCTTCCAGCTGTCCCTGGGCAGGTCCTGGCACAGCCACAGAGCCGTGGTTTTGATGTGATAGGACTTGAGACGTTTTCCGGTGTCTTTCACTGTTGTCGTTTTTCTGCGTTTTTTCAGCTCGTTCTTCACAATTTTTAGGCCACGGGCAGCGATCCGCACGGTAGGAAACAAGTGCCAGCCAGCCACCACCTCTGCGCGTGAGAACGATAGACGCAGCTCGATGTGTTCAGTGGGGCTCCCAGGGTGGCCGGTGGGCACCAGGTGTACGCCATAGCGGCAGATGTCTTCCCGCGCCTCTGCCGGTGGGAAGTCGGTCACACGTCGACGGGTGCGGAACTCTCCTGACGGCCACACGGGCCAACGGAGACAAGGCACCCAGTCAATGCCGCCGTCGATGTCTCCTTCCTGACGGACATTGACGGCGGGCCCTGCTGTTCGATGATCACATCCGAGCCATGGCGGGTTCTGCACCAATCCTGCACCAAACGACGGAGGTCCTCGGCAGAAACCTGGCGACGATCGCTGTGATCGCACGCAGACGTTGGCTTGACAAACAGCAGCACAAAACCGGGATTGGCGCTTGGCTCAACCACCAGCAGCGGCATCGAGTCCGGGTCACCATCAGGAGGAGAAGGGTCCACCAAGAGCGGCGGCCCTTCCGGGTCATCAGTTCTGAGCCAGCGACACGGGCCGAGCTCCATCATGACGTCCACGTCTGAGGCGCACTTTCGGCTGTCGTGTCCATCGAGGTCGTCCAGTCCCTCGATGCTGCTGCCGGACTGGTTGAAGTGCAGCACGGAGAGCTGGCCGAGCGGGGAGCAGGCGGAACACTCGCCGGCCGCCTCGGCGTAATGTCGCTGAAGGCAGCGCCACAGCGGCTCGCTCGGCAGCCAGTGCAGCGCTCGCCTGGCGTTGTTCCAGGCACTGACGACAGAATGCGTGCGGTAGTTGAATGGCTGGTTACTTTCCAAGAGAAGGCTGACTATCTTCTCGCTAATGCGTCCATATCTCTTTACAAACAGGTTCAAGGTCATCAAAGACAGCGGCTCTCTTTCTTTCTGGTCCTCATGATCTTTCTTCTCAGTGTTGACCTGTGCCGAAGCCTGCTCGTCTTAGAGTTCAATAAGCCTTGCCACTTTGCCAACTGATGACCGCTCACTTTTGTGACGCGCGCTGCGCAAAGGAACGCCCTAGCAACTGACCTGGCCAATTGACGATGGGGGCTTGCTGAACATGGCCACCAGTTCTCTCACGGTTGGCCTCGCCGGTGCGTCTGCTCTTCCGCCGGCGCGGCCAACTCTCAGCTGGGCGGCCATGGCCGGGTCCCGGTCACATTCTTACCCTGCCATAGACGGCGCGGTCACCTCCTCCTCCCACTGTAGACGGTCT